GTCATATCTTCGTTTTAATGATTCATAATAGCATGGGGCCACTGATAAATTGATGGCAAGTGGGGGCACCGCACCACGAATAGAGATATTACCCCTAAAATAGGTGAGGAATTTTCAGTGGGACCAAACTCAGTAGGCAAAACACCAAAGTTGGACCCGCCAAATTAAGCGTGACACGTAGCTCAACTGAAATTTCAGATTGTACCGTTTGATTTATTTCGTACGCTTAAAAAGCATTTCTTCTAGTCTAAGCTTCAAATTTTTAATCTTTACTCACCCCTTTTATTCATAAATGGTTTTTGTACGACGTTATTCCTCTTTTTAAATTTGTGTACTATGCTTTGGTAGAAAAGACATGGAAATTTCCTATCAGCAACGACAAAATCACGCCAAAAAAAAAAAAAAAAAGAAAGAAGGAAAACGGTCACCCAACTTTATCGCTAACCAAATTAAATAAATTTTACATTGTTCAATCACTTAAATAAACTCCCTTTCTTTCAATTTATATGATGATATATGACTAAACATGAAATTTTTTAAAAAATAATTAAAATATAGTATAATAACTTTGTAATTAGAAATGCAAATTTTTAAGAGTAAAATAAAAAATGTACAAGTTTAATTGTCATTTAATACCAGAAAATGCCAATCTTATTAGAACAAACTGATAAAGAAAAGCGTAGCACATAAAGAACCGAAGGAGTAATTATTAGATCATGTATAAGATGCAATAGTGGTAATTTAATTAATAAAAAGTTACATATTATAATAAGTTAAAATGTGTAATAAAGTTCACGTTCAGTATAAATAAATCTAATATTTCACTTATATTGCCCATACCGAACATTAAAGGATGACTTGGATGAATCAATTTCTAAAATCTTGCCCACTTGTTGCAAACTTCAACTGATTCTTTTCCTCCCGTCTCACCAAAGGTCAAGGTTCGTTTAAGACTACTAAAAGTAGCAAAACTAAATGAAACTATTCAGAACTTTAGAATATCTTATGTGTTCCAATATCGAAGAGTTGTAAATTCCAACTACTTCAAGCTTGAGAACAGCATTCTCTTTAAAGAATATCTAGGAGAGTAAAAGAGATTGAGAATCACCTTTTTATTTATCATACACGATAAGCTATTCGAAAAATGATTAAATACTCACAAATTCTCATCGAATATTTTCAACCAATTGGTTTGATAACATCCTATTTTACGTCAAAAGGACATTGTATTACGGATACCAAGATTTTAACGTTATGAATTCCGGAGGTTAGAACGATTTCAAATGTTAAATATATAATTGGCTTCTAAATTTAATATTTATTCATACTTAGTGAATTCTTTTTAACACAATTATGTTATTTGAGCAAAAATTACTCATTCGACCGTATTCGAATTCGAACTCCTAGCTCCACCCCTATATATCAGTAAGAATATTTGGTGAGGACTAACAATATTTCACCCCTATGATCTCAGACAATATGTTATCTTGACTAGACAAATATATTTAAGAGTTAAGACCTCATCTGTTCAAAAGATCAACAAAGCTATGTGAAATGCACCATGTAAATTATCAAACTACCAATACATTCTAACAAGAAAAAAGTTACACAATATATACTTAAAATACAAAATTAATTTTACATCTTATATATATATATATATATATATATATGCACGAGATGTTTAATAGGTATACATTTATTTGGGGATTTTTACCCAGCTATACTATATTAGAAACTGATTTACCTATGTTCTCTATGTTTTGCAGTTTTTAATAAGTATCTAGGTTTTTCTTACAACTTGTATACATTGCTTTTTAAAAGGCTTCTACCCCATTATTAGTGCCTTCAATTAAGGGATTCAATTACATCCTTTCCTTTTTTCCCCTTCTCTTCTCTCTCCTTTTAAAAAAAAAATAAATCAAAATCTCTTAATCTACGTCCAGAATCTCCATCTTCTCTCTTTACCATTGTCTACAACTTTATATTATTAAAAAATATTCAGAAATTGTATGATAACTGTATCATAATTATAGTTGAATTGTATCAGACACATCAACGCCTAATACATAAATGTATCATACTTGTATCACAATTGTATCTAACTTGTTTCTGGTACATTAATATCCAAAATAATACCTAATACAATACTGATAAATTAATATACAATTATCATATTTGTGATACAAATTGTGAAATTCGTCACGAATTCACAACTGTTCGTAACAATATACAATGAATGTACAATTATCATACATTTGTAATACAATTCCTGCGACAATTATGATAATACAATTATAATACAATTGCGATACATTTCTGAAAAATTGTGATACAATTATGTTCTTCATTTTCCTCAAGTTTCAATAACTCTACACTAATAACTCTACACTAAACATTTACTATAATAGTATTATACTTGTATTAGTATTGTATCCACAACTTACCCACAACTTGATTGTAGAGCAAAATTTCGAATTTCTTCTATATTTGAGAATTTGGATAATTGAAAGAGAGAAATCGAAAATCAAAAGCTTTAGAAGAAGAAAGAACTGCAATTTTGTGGGGATAACAGTGGATGATTAGAGAAATCACATATCAAAAGCTTTGGAAGAGGAGTGAGTAAGCGAGATTTTTAGGCTAGAAAAATTTTAGGCATCAGTGGATAAGGGAGAATTCTTACGGTAGGTAAGTACAAATTTGGGTAATTGTTAAAGAAAGAGAGAAGATATTTTTTTAATCCTTTTGAAAAGGAAGAGAATCTTAAATGTGGGGGATTATGTGTAACTGATATGCTATATTTAAGGTATGTTGCGTTTCCTCTTTTTTATGGTTTTGTATAAAATTAATAAATATAGGTATATAAAGTAATTAAAAGGAACCTAAATAAAGGTAGTAAATAAATTTCTATTATAGTATACCTAGGTAAAAATCCCACACATTTACTAAGATTAAGGTGTCTAATAGGCACGAGAGTCCATTGAGGTATCAAAGTGAAAAATATAAATAAGTTCGGGGAGGCGCTTATGTCTTCGGCCTTTTCCTTTTGATAAAACCAAAATATGCTTGCTGCGTGGATGGCATGAATATTTATTTTTTGTAAGACATGTACCTTAATTTAAGTTACTTAAAGCATTTGATTATTGTGACATCACGTCGAGTTTGAGCTCTTGTTACACCAATCACGATTCAATTCCAACTAGTTTAATAGCATATACATAATTTGAGAAGTATTTTTTTCGAAAGTGTTTTTTTTAAAAGTACTTTTGGTGAGAAACAGTATGTGTTTGACTAATTAATTTGAAAAACACTTCTGAGCAACAATTAGTATTTGGCCAAGGTTTTAAAAACTGTTTTTAAGTGTATTTTTCTCAAAATTGATTTTCAAAAAAGTATTTTTGGAGAAAGCTATTTTTTTCTCCTTCTCCAAAACTGCTTCTGCTTCATGCACTTTTTTTTTTCAAAAGCTTGGCTAAGCTTTCAACTTTGTAAAAAAAGCACTTTTTTGAAAAAAAAAAAAAAGTGTTGTTAGAATTGAAGAAGTTTGGCCAAACAGGACATAAGCCCATCTCCAATTTGAGTAATTGTTAAGTAAAGTAAATATACACTTTGTTGGCGACCTTTGATTAAGAAACTTAGCAGGTTGCGTCGTTCACTGGATCGGATTTGCAACATAATTTGTTGGTGAGAATTTTAAAAGAGAACGAGATAGACTCAAATGCAAACTTAGCAAAATATAGAGCATACTGACAGAAACAAATCTATACAAGCAATACATATTAGTCGTCTAGTCGACAATATTTTTCAAACATTAGCCCTTTACAGTGAGTTTTATGCTTTCAAGAAGTTTAGGCCTTTAGGAATCAATTTATATATTTGAAAAATATACAGAACCTTAAATATTTTTTATTTGTATGACATAAAGTGAATTTAATACTCCCTCCGGTCCAAAATAAGTAATTTTTTTGGATATTTTCACACAAATTTAAGAAATACACCTTTTAACATTAATTAACTATGGAATTGACCATATTAACCTTTACTATCTCACATAAACACTCCTAACACATATTCCAACACCATTTACTTCAAGGACAATGTAGGAAAAAAAAATTAATTTATTCTTGAAATCTGAAAAAATTACTTATTTTGGATCACAAGAAAAAGAACAAAAAATCACTTATTTTGGACCGGAGGGAATAGAATACTATAATTATTGAAAATTTCAATTTGTTTGGATTGAGACATGTCGTAGCAAATACAGTATTTCACCATTTTTTCTTTTCTAATTTCTCTTTTCCTGTACCGGATCAGTTGACAGGAGGAGCAGATAAAAGAGAAACACGCAAATACAAAAGTGAAAATGTAGAAGAAGGAAGTCAGCAACCAATGAAAATCAGAGGAAGCGCGAAGAACACGTCATTAAACAAGAAATCAAATTTATTTAAAAAGTTTTAAGAAAAAAGGAAGAATTAATACCTACTGATCAGAAGAAGCCGGTTGAAGCTGAAGGTGTGGGAGCCAGCTTGCACAGAGCCCAAGGACAAGTCGTCATCGTTTTTCTCCCGAAAACGGTGGGCCCGGAGACGGACTTGAAATGCGGAACTGAAATAAAAATTAAAATGAATGGACACCAGAAATGGATGAGACAGGAAAAAGAGAAATTCAAATCCAACTAAATAAAGCAAAAGAAAAAAGAAAAAAAAGAAAAAGAAAAAGAAAAAGGCAAGATGTCCGTGAAAACGTGATGGTAGGAGGAATGGATGGAGAAAGATGAGTTATGGAGTATTATTAAAATAAGAAACCGCCAAACACGCGCCTGTCCACATCTCTCCATCTCAAATCTCTGCCTACTTTTCCTCCTTTAATTAATTAAAATAATTTGCCTCTCTCTCACTCCATCCATTACTAGAAAAAAGAAGAACTTTATAAATAATAATAATTAATCAAAAAAAAACTGTATCGAGAAAAATCCCCATCTTTTTAGATTGACTATATAAATGCCACCTCCACTTCTCCACACCTTTGCATCTTAACCTGAAAACAGCATCTTTTGTCTCCTCTCTCTCTCTCTAAATAAAAGTCTTATCACTGTCACCCTTTGGTTCCCTCCCATTCTCCCCCACTATATAAACTATCTTTCCCTTCATTATATCCTTCACTGCTTCGCATTATTTTCCTCTCTCTCTCTTTCTACCTTATAACCAAAAAAACAAGGAACATCCAACTACCAAAAGCAAACAGCTCGTCTTTTGCTTTATTTCTTTTTCTCTCTCTAGGCCCTAGCTCGTCTTTTGCTTTATTTCTTTTTCTCTCTCTAGGCCCTAAAATTACCACACTAGCTCACTGTAGTTTCCCACAACCCACTTTTCTCCTTATATTATTCCAAGAGATAAGCTACTCATTTCTAATTACCCTATTGTCTTATTTCGAATTTTATAATCTCTCATCTTAGAAAAATTTCACTATCCCTTGTTTTTATTGTCTCCAATATGGAAGTGTTGAAAAATCCCGAGAATAATAACAGTAACAAACGATCCCGAGTTGAGTCGGGATTGGACTCAGTTGATAACTCGCCTGAGTCAAAGCGAGTCAACACAGAGGTAGATGCGAGTCATGCTTCGGCCGAGTCTGACAGAGTCGACTCGGAGTCGGAAGTGAGTCTTAACTCGTCCGGTTCGGACCGGTTCAGGCGTTCTGAACCACACGAAACGGATATCGTGGAAACAGATGTGGACCTGGACTCGCCGGAGGCTAAGCAGATCAGAGAAGATATATTTGACATCTTAGATGAGCCTGACGCTCTGACGGATTGTCCACCGGAGATTCAGGATCTCGACTCTGTTATGAAGAGCTTTGAGGAGGAGATCCTTCACCGCTCGAATCATCTCGATACTCAGACCGTCCTAGATCTGACGTCATCAGAGTCGGGCGACTCTCGACCGGACCTCGGTTACCTCCTTGAGGCTTCCGACGACGAGCTTGGTCTCCCGCCGACATTTTCTCCGGTAGATGAACATGTTCACGCCGAAACTTCCATGCCGGAGGCTGCTGAATTGGTTAATATGGTGGGATTTGAGGATGAAATGCCTAATTATGACACGTTCGACTTCGGGATGGCCGCCGAGGTCAGGCAAGGAGATAATGACGGGGTGAACGGCAACGGTGACTATGTGACGTTTGGCGGGTTATTTGATTACCCGGAGCCTTTGGATTTTTCTGAATTCTCATGGCGGCAGGAGTCGTTACCCGCTCTATAAACCGATGAAACTTCCGGCGGCTTGGCCCGTCTAGGTTTTGTGAATGGTAGCGTAGTTTGTATATCTGAAAACCAGAAAGGACACTATAAAAATAGGAACCTAAACTGTGAAAGTCATATATTAGAAGAATCGAATGTTCTCCGAGGCTAGAAATTGGAGTTAACTTTTCTCTTAAAAATCAGTAATTATTTGATACTCAATCTGAATTCTGGAGTTTGATGTTAAACTCTGATATACACCTGAGTTAATTTTATCTCATTAATTATTCAACCAAGGAAATATGAAGCAACTATTGATATTCGTTGAGGCGTTATCTTTACTTTATATATACTATACTAGTTGGGGCCAGTTTCTATATTGTATCATTTTGAATCCTATTTTAATAGGAGTAAACAAAAGAACAAGCCGATTTTCCATTTTTCTTTATTGTACTTCAATAGTAGTTTTTCTGTGGGGAGAAATTAAAAAATAGTCAGATTTACAAGTAGTCGTTCAAAAATAGCTTAATTTTAAAAGTAATCGAAATTTAGCTATTTTTCATGTAAAATAAATTTGAACGAAAATACTGTTCAAAATTCGAAAAAATACTTCAGCAAAATATACTGGAGTTTCAGTATAATATACCGGAACTCCAGTCTAATATACTGAAGTTCCAGTATAATATATCGGTCCAGTATAATATACTGGAGTTTGGAACACCGGTGCTCCAGTCTCCAGTATATTATATTGGAGCCAGCAAAGTATACCGGTCCAGCATAATATGCTGGAAGTTCATACACAGGTGTATCGAATTTCAGTATATTATGCTGGACCGATCTCTGTTGCAGCAAAATAGTGGCTATTTTTCATTGACTTGGTAAACGCTAGCTATTTTTGAATGACCAGTCCGAAACTGACTAGACCATGCTATTTTTACTTTCCTTTGGGATAATACATAAGATGTACTCTGTATTTGTTCATGAGATGCACTCTGTATTTGTTCAGAAAAGTCAGTTTCACGCATAAACTTTACTGGCGTCCTATTACCTTCGCTAACGCTGTCCTTGTACAAAGTGAATTTAATATCACCTTGTGAAACATAATACCACTTTCATGGTATGAGGTGCCCTACACGCGAATGGATCGGATTAACTTGGAAAATGGAAAGATTTGTACAAGCTATACGTTTCGTCACCACTTTGTGAAAAATCGTTAGGTATGAATATGTGAAAAATCGCTAGGTATGAATCGTTAGGTATGACTCGATTGGTAAAATAATCTCTCCCCCAAAAGTATATTTTTTTTACCGACGTATCAACAAAATATTTTGTTGCGAATGAACAAGATATTGAGGCTATGTAAGAAATACAAGAAATAATTATTTTTATTATTTTTTCTTTTTCCTTTTTCATTCACATATTTTTCCTTTTTTCTTCCATAGCTACCACCAAAATCTCCATTACCAACGGGCTTCTTGCGGCTTGATGCTTCTTTCTTTTGTTTTAATTTTTTCTTATTTACAAGTTTAATTATTATGAAATTATTGTAGTAATTGAGAGCAAAAATTTCAATAACACTGTTTCAATAACAATAATAATACTGCAATAATATTCTTTGGAAGCAGATACACGAATTAACTTGAGTCGTGCTGGGCACTGTCCTAAAAAACTATTTCAGCAGTGTGAAATATTTCTCCAGGATTAAACAAGCTTACCTCTATTTTATTTAGAGGATACAGGAATCAGCAAAATATTTATATTAAAATAATCCAACAAGATTGAAAAAGAGAATAGGACAAAGAAAATTTATAAGAAAAATTAGAAATAAGAGAAGCTAAGAGAGAAAGAGAAGAAGACTAGAAAAGCACTTCTGACGGGATGATTATTGTGCAGCCAAACGATGGCTATTTATACTTGAAATTGCATGTAAATTTGTAGTGCATGGCAAGAAAGTGGCTAATCAAGTTTGCCACTTGGCATAGTCTTCTAGAAGGCTAAGATACTTGTATTTTAAAATATTGCCACAGTCCCCCACTATTTTAAATACCCAAAAATAAACTTGTTGGATTTGTATGGTCAAAATATAATAGGTTTGGTGTCTTCTGGACTATGAACCAAAATTAGATCAATAAAATTTAACTCACAGAATTACTGGTGAAATACAATTGTCACGACCCTAAACCCAAACCCGGTCGTGATGGCGCCTCTCGTGAAGACAAGGCCAACCGACACACTTCCAATTCACTTTAAGCAATTAGAATATTAAATACTCAGTCTTTAACAGAAATAAAATCCCAAAATAACAATATGAGTTGCGGAATTAAAAACCAACACAACCCGACATCGGGGTGTCACCAGTCATGAGCATCTAAAATAATACTACAAGTCTGAAAATCTACTCCACTACTACATAACTGAATCAAAAAGGGAATAAAATAGAGGGAGAATGCACTGGGCTGCGAATCGCCAAGCAGCTACCTAGTAAAATCTCCGAAGATCTGCTGGAAACTATCAACCCTCAGTAGCAGGACCTGTAGCACCCGAATCTGCACACAGGGGTGCAGGGAGTAAAGTGAGTACTCCAACTCAGTGAGTAATAACAAGAAATGAAGACTAAGCGATATAAAATCACGTTAAACACAACAATAAGCTATAAGAGGCAGAACAAAATCAATAAACACAAATAAACAGTGAAATTTCATAAAACACATTTTAAGCAGTTAAACAATTAAAGGAAAAGCAACTAGAAAGATAAACACACAAGAACTGCCCCTCGGGCTAAGTAACAACAACAGAATCAGCCCCTCGGGCAATATCATAGAACAATACCAGTCGGCTATATCTCATATCACAATGGGTACCCGCGCTCACTGGGGGTGTACAGACTCCGGGAGGGGCCCCTTACGGCCCAAGCGCAATATCAAGCCATCTCGTGGCATCATAAACAGGCTCTCGGCCTCATATCAATCACAAGCCACCTCGTGGCGTACAATCTCAGGCCCTTGGCCTCATTATCATAATCGGTATATCACTGCTGCGGCGTGCATCCCGACCCAAAAGTATCCTCACAATACAGGCCCTCGGCCTTACTCAGTCAGAATCTCATAAGCCACTCGGGGAACAGTAAAATATGAAGCTCAGCTCAAAAATATCTTATATCATTTAAAGTGTTTAAAACAGAGTAACAGGCTGAGTTTTGAAAACAGTAAAATATGGCATGACTGAGCATAATTATGAAATCAAACAGTGAGGAACAATTTGCTATTAAGTACGCAGTAAAACAGTCATTCGGGATGGACTAAGTCACAATCCCCAATGGTGCACGACCCCATGCTCGTCATCTGGCGTGTGCGTCACCTCAACATAGCCGAACGTTGTGTAATCCGGGGTTTCATACCCTCAGGACAACATTTAAAATCATTACTTACCTCAATCCGGCCCAAACTCTAGCTCGCAATGCCTTTGCCCCTTGAATTGGCCTCCGGATGCTCCGAATCTACCAAAATCAGAACGTAATCATCAAAATATGCTAAAGGGACAAAACCCACTCGAAAATAATCGAAAAACAACCGAATCCCAAAATTACCAAAACCCGACCCCCGGCCCACGTCTCGGAATTTGATAAATTTTACGTCATTAGATTCCTTATCTCCCCACGAGTTCATACATATCAAAAGTTCCAAAATCCGACCATAAATGGTCTTTCAAATCTTCAATCAAAGGCCGAGGTTTCTAAGCCCTAGTTTCTCTAATTTTACCCTTAATTACAGCTCTAATCAGCGAATTAATACCATAAAAACGAGTTTTCATAATCCAAAACCTTACCTCAATGATGTCTCCTTGATTTCTCTCTTCAAAATCGCCCAAAGCTTCAAAATTCGTATTTAAAAGTAGTGAAACCCTCTGAAAATCGCGAAGGAGAAAATATAAACATTTAGACCCAGGCTTTTCGCACCTGCGGCCCAGATGTCGCACCTGCGTGACCGCTTCTGCGGTCCCAATGGCCGCACCTGCGATTTTCACTTTACGGCCCAAAACCGCATCTGTGACGTCCGCTCCGCACCTGCGCTATCGCAGGTGCGGTCCATCAACCGCTTCTGCAGTCACAGCCTTCCTAGGTCTCATCCGCATCTGCGACTTGTCGCCCGCATCTGCGGGGTCGTACCTGCGATCCTTCAACCGCAGATGCGGTTATGACAACAACCAAAAGGCTTCAGCTCTCAAACTCAATTCCAAACCTTCCGTCAACCATACGAAATCACCCCGAGGCCCCCGGGACCTCAACTAAAAGCACCAACAAGTCTTATACTACCATTCAAACTTATACCAATCTTCAAAACACCTCAAACAACATCAAAACCACCAAAACACATCGAATTCAAGCCTAAGGTTCTAAAATCTTCCGCATTCTGCTTTTGATCAAAAAGTGTACCAAACCACGTTTGAATGACCTGAAATTTTGCACACACATCCCAAATGACATAACAAAGCTTCTGCAACTTCCGGAATTCCATTCCGACCCCTATATAAAAATCTCACCTATCAACCAGAAAACGCCAAAAACTCGATTTTGCCAATTCAAGCCTAAATCTACGAAGCTACCGAACCATCGGAACTCACATCCGAGCCCTCTAACACATAAGTCAACATCCAGTTGACTTTTCCAACTTAAGCCTTCTTAAAAGAGACTAAGTGTCTCAAGCTTCTCAAAAACCTTTCCGAACCCGAACCAACCAACCCGATTACATGTAAAACTGATAATTAAAGCAAATAGAAGCAGAAATGGGGGAAATAGTTCGGTAATTCATGAGACGACCAGCCGGGACATCACATCCTCCCCCTCTTAAACAAACATTCGTCCTCGAACGAGTCAAGAAACATACCTGAAGCCTCAAATAGGTGAGGATATCTGCTCAGCATCTCCCGCTCGGTCTCCCAGGTAGCCTCCTCCACGGGCCGACCTCTCCATTGCACTTTCACTGAAGCTATATCCTTTGATCTCAACTTTCGAACCTGACGCTCCAAAATAGCCGTTGGCTCCACATCATAAGTCAGATCACCCTCCAACTGAACCGTACTGAAATCCAGAACATGAGACAGATCCCCAATATACTTCCGGAGCATAGAAACATGAAACACCGGGTGCACACTCGACAAGCTGGGTGGCAAGGCAAGCTCATAAGCCACCTCCTGTATCCTCCGAAGTACCTCAAAAGGACCAATGAACCGTGGACTCAATTTACCCTTCTTTCCAAATCTCATAACACCTTTCATGGGTGAAACCTTCAACAAAACCTTTTCCCCAACCATGTAGGACACATCCCGAACCTTCCGGTCCGCATAGCTCTTTTGCCTGGACTGCGCTTTACGAAGCCTCTCCTG